CTTCACTGGAGCCTCTTATAGCCCTTTCATGTCAACTTGAAGGACTCGCGTCAGCATCTCTTGTAGGGCAAGTCTGTTAACAAACTTCCTCAGCTTTTGTTTTTCTAGGAGTGTCTTAATTTCACCCGTGTTTTTGAGGATAGTCTTCTTGGATGTGGAATCTTCTTTCTTTCATCTCACATCATCCCACTGCTTTCTGGCCTCCAAGGTTTCTGCAGAGAAGTCAGCTGGGAATCTTACTGAGGATCCCTTGACGTGACGAGTCACTACTTGCTTTTAGGACTTGGTTTATGACATTTTTCTTATGAGTCTTGGTGTGGGTCTGAGTTATCACACTTGGAGTCCAGTGAGCTTCTTGGATTTGTAGGTTCATGTCTTGTATCAGATTGGGAAGTTTCTGACAATCATTTCCTCACATCATCTCTCTGCCCCTTTCTCTCTCTCCTCCTTCTGAGACGCCCATAATGTGGCCCCCAGGTCCCTCAGGCTGTGATCACTGCTGCTGCTTCTGTCTGCTCATATCTCTTGAACCCCTCTTGTGAACCCTCCATTTCAGTTGTTGTATTTTTTAGCTCCGCAATTTCTTTTTGGTTCCTTTCTATAACTTTTCTCTTTGCCCGCATTGTTTTCCTGATGTCTTTTAGTTCTCTGTGTTTCCTTTGGCTCTGTGAGCACAGTGAAGACAGTTGTTTTAAAAGTCTTGACTATGTCCAGTGTCTGGGCTTCTCCTAAGATTCTGTTAGTTTTTTCCTTTGAACAAGCCATGTTTTCCTGTTTGTGTGTCTTGTGATTTTTTGTTGTTGTTGTTGAAAAACTGGGCCTTTGAGAAAACAGACACCTCTGCCAGTCTTTGCTGACTGGCTCTGTGCTGGGGCCGTCCTTCACCACTTATCTGGGCGTCTGCTGAGCCTAGGGAACAGCCTGAGGTGCATCTTGCCTGGCATTCTCAATTCTGTGTCCACGGCTGCTCTTGAATGTTTTCATTTCCCAGAGTCTCACCCCAGCCCGTCTCACTTTGGGGCCTTAGATGGTCTGTTGTGTGTCCACCCATAATCTCTCAGCCCAGACTTCTGCGAGTTTCTAGGCCTCCTGCAGCTTCTATGAGCAGTGCCCACTTTTCCCACCTGAGAACATAAGTTAGGCAGAATGGAGTCCAGTCCTCCCAGCAGCCAGGTTGCCACGTTGCAGCTAAGGCCGGCTGCCTCCTGACTATGCTGGGAGTGGTGGCACACGGCAGGGGAACGTCCCCCAGAACTCGTCCCACCAGCTTGAAGGTGGCTTTCTGTGGCTTGTTTTTTACTTGGTTGCTGTCAGCCTGTTTTCCAGAACTCCTGTAGGGTCAGTTCAGCCAGTTCCAGGTTGCCCTTTCGATGCTTTCACAGGGACACAGGCCTGGAGCTTCCTAGCCTGGCGTTCTGCTGACATCACTCAAGCTCTCGTGCTCCATTTTTTAAAGTTTTTTTTTTTTTAAAGATTTTATTTATTCCCCCCCCCCCCCAAAGCCCCAGTAGATAGTTGTATGTCATAGCTGCACATCCTTCCAGTTGCTGTATGTGGGACACGGCCTTAGCATAGCCGGAGAAGCGGTGCGTCAGTGCGCGCCTGGGATCCGAACCCGGGCTGCCAGCAGCGGAGCACGCACACTTAACTGCTAAGCCAAGCCACGGGGCCGGCCCTGATTTTTTAAACTAACCTGACTTTTTCCTAAATGGCTTATAATTTTGTTGGTTGTCATTTTTTTCTGCCCAGTCTGCATTCCCGCACACGTGCTCTTTGCGCTGGACTCAGCGTGGCGCACTCTCTTCTAGGGCCTGCACATCTCCTTAGACTTGCTGGCAAGTGCTTCAGCCTGGTGGAGTCCACGTGAGTGAGGGTAGGGGCTGGCGTGGGTGGGGGCTGGGACCCCCCCCTGACGGCGGTTGTGCCCCCAGGTACAAGTATGAGTTCTGCCCGTTCCACAACGTGACCCAGCATGAGCAGACCTTCCGCTGGAACGCATACAGCGGGATCCTTGGGTGAGCTGGGGGACGGGCAGGTGGCTACAGGCTCCTGGGGTGGGGCCCTCCCCCTGCCTCATGTGCTCTGTTCCTCTCCAGAATCTGGCATGAGTGGGAAATTGCCAACAACACCTTCAGGGGCATGTGGATGAGGGACGGCGACTCCTGCCACTCCCGGAGCCGGCAGAGCAAGGTGGGGCCGTGCGAGAGGGGGCCTAGAAAGGATGGGGCCCCAGCTTCCCCCACCACCTACCACCCACCAAGGTTTCCCCCCAGGTGGAGCTTACCTGTGGAAAAAGCAACCGACTGGCCCACGTGTTTGAGCCGAGCACCTGTGTCTACGCGCTAACATTTGAGACTCCCCTTGTCTGCCACCCCCACTCCTTGTTAGGTAGGACGCTGACGCCAGCTGGGGTGGGGCTGGGGGGTGGGGCAGAGGGGCTCAGCTAAGTCCCGTCTCTGTTGGATTCCTAGTGTACCCGGCCCTGCCCACGGCCCTGCAGCAGAGATGGGACCAGGTGGAGCAGGACCTGGCTGATGAGCTGATCACATCCCAGGTGAGGTGCTGGGCAGGCACCCCCTTGGCTGGGGGCAGTGCAGCCAGGAGCTGGGTGTGCCCTCTTCTTCCTTGACCTTCAGGGCTATGAGAAATTGCTCAGGACACTTTTTGAGGATGCTGGCTACTTAAAGACCCCAGAAGAAAGTGAATCCGCACAGCAGGAAGGAGGGGCTAAGGGCCTGGTGTTTGAGACCTTAGAGAACTGCAATAAGGTACAGATGTGGGCAGGGGTCTCCCTGGACACAAGACATCCTCCCACCGAGGGGCCCGACTTTTCCCTTTTAACTTTTCTCTTCTAGGCACATAAAGAACTGTCAAAGGAGATTAAAAGGCTGAAAAGTGTGCTGACCCAGCATGGCATCCCCTACATGAAGCCTGTAGGTGAGCCATGTCTGGGTGAAGGGGCCAGGCCCAACTGGGGACCTGCTCCCTGTGGGCCAGGTCCTGACCTGCTGCCTCCTGGTGTTCAGTAGAAACTTCCAGCTCTGAGCACTTGGGCGCCAGGACACCCACAGACAGGACAGCAGAGCAGCTACGAGGCGACCCAGGACTGCGTGGGAATACCTTGTGACCTGGGACGGGGCTGGAGGACAGACCCAGACTGTGGCGTCCTGTAGCAGGAAGGGGAACCAGGCCGGGACCACGGTGCCGAGGGAGGTCTCGGGCAAGCACACTACAGCCAGAGGATGCGCTTCCTCTGTGCCTTCCGGGCCAGGTCGCTCGCAGGGTTGTGCTCAAAGATGTAGACAAAATAAAGATTCAGAGTTTTAATTAATTCCCATACTGATAAAAATAATTCCATGAATTCTGTAAACCATTGCATAATTGCTATAGTGTAAAAAAACTTGTGTTAACAACTTGAAACAATTCACTACAAGTAAATGACTATGCATCATAAATACTACCTTCTGGGTTAAACTCCATCCCAATAACATTCTCATCTAAGTACTCAAAACAAATATATAGATTGGGGCTTCCATAAATTAATCCACATGAAGCGTCCACACTGAGTTGGTCTTCTGCTGACCACCTACACGAACAGCCTGACAGCATCACTGCTAGGATCGAACACGAGAGCCGAGGGGCCACAGCAGCACCACACCCAGCAATCCCTTGGTCACCCGCGTGTGGGATGGTGAAACCCCGAGACGCCTAGCATGGCCCCAGCTCGGCCTGGGAGGCCTGCACAGGGTGGCTGCCACAGAAGGCCAGGGCCCCCCCACAAGCACCCCCCCCACCCCGGTACCCCAGGCGTTCCATCCACTCAGGGTGGTTCTTTGGTCTTCCCCACCAAACATCTGTCCTTGGAGCCATCCCGATCCCAGGAGCGCGAGCACCTGGGATGCGCCTCCAGCCTGGGCACCCCGTGAGCACAGCACCTCCCATCTCCCCAACTCCACAGAAAGAACTGACCAGCGTAGCTTATAAATAGACCTAAACCTTAATTGTTTATAATTTGAAAATGTCTAGGCTAGATATCAATGATAAACATTGTCCTGGTTCCCAAAAAAGACCAAAGGCCTGAAATGGGAAACAAGTGCATAAATATTAATAAAAATAAGGGATTTTAAACAGTGATAACAGTAGCACAAAATATACGTAATTTCTAAGAGCTAATAAATCACTAGAATTAGAAACAAAGTAGATTTGCTAAAACCAGGTCGGTAATTACCGTTAGTAGCGGACTAGCTGCGGAATGTCATGGATCCACCTTGAAATGACAGAACTGTTCTATCAGTTTGTCTGACGTTAAAAAATGTTTTAAACCTCTTACTATAGTGAATACATTCTAATTTGGTCACTGATAAAAATTTTTACTTAGTCATTTTGCACTTTAAAAAACGCTATTAAAAGTCTTTGGCAAAGCCACAAGTGGGGAGAAATGCGTGTTTACTTCCAATGGCAGAGTCTGGAAAGGTTTTCTTACAGCAGTCCACATCTGCTTCTCGGAGAGCAAAGTTTAAGTCAACTACAGACGTCTTTTACTTCTTCCCAGATTTCTAGGAAAAATGACCAATGCAGACCCGAGAAGATTTCAAGTTAGAACTAAAATCAGACCCTCTCTCAGCAGCATTTCTGCTGTACCCTGAAGCCAGGCTGCCACTCAGGGTAGAGGGACCTGCGGCAGAGCCCGGTCCCTGGGGCAGCCTCCCCCCCGCAGAGCAACCTGTGGTCACGGGAATTACTGATGACAACTGGACGCACAGACCAGGTGACAGTGTCAGCTGGAAGTGTTGCCTGGAGTCTAGACCACCCCACAGCTTGGCGAGCCAGTCCCAGGTGGTGGGAGTCCCTATGGTCCCAGGTGTGGGGAGTGACATCACCCATGGGGGAGCCAGGAGGCCCACCAGTCAGCTCTGAGAAGGTGGAGAGCATAGCTGCCCATTCCAGATGCTAGGACACGGCTCTATAGAAGTAATGTAGAGGACCCCCCCAGTCGGGGCCCCTCTGCTGCACTTTTCACTAGGACCCAATTCTTACAGAGTTTCAAGGGAGGAAATAAAACCCAATGAACCGTTTCCTTCACTTCGGCAAGGCACAGGCACTTAGACAAAGTGGCCAAGGGTCATGTGACGTGTGATTGAGCATTCAGCGTCACTTTACAATGGTGGAATATAAAACTCCAGTTAATGTGCGCATGCACATGTTTAGGAAGAGTTCCTTTCCTAAAATTAAAAACATCTAAATGTATATGTGTCTTTCAATAATCATTCTGCTATAAATACTATTTGCACTTAATTTGAAAACTGTAAAAATCCTAGGCATTTCTTACTACTAGATAAATGCTCATTGCATAAGTACTAACTTCAGAATATGAAATCTAATATATTTACCATACTATGAATTAATAAACTGATATGAAATATTTTAAGTTCACAGTACACATATAAAGCTTCATATTATCGCATATTAAAAAAAACATGAACCTAGAAAGCAGCTTATAGCAACTCATCACATCTATCTAAGTTCCTTGGTTTACAAAGTGCTGTTTGGGGACCTGAACTCCCAGGGATCTGGTCACAGTAGTGTCAGGACCGCAAACCCCGCATGACGACCAGGCCCAGGACGCTGGGCCCCAGAAGGTTCTGTGGGTTTGCCTTTAAGGTTTGGGAGAATACCATGAAACCATGGGCAGGCTACTCAGGGCCCGGGCCCCGCCGTTGGTGGCACCAGGAAATGAGCGAAGACGTGGCGCTGTCACCATGGGAGGGGCTGGCCCTCGCAGTAGGGGCACTCAGGTGCGCTGGCTGCACACGGCTCACAGAGCACGCGGTGCTGGCAGGGCCGCAGGACAGCGCCGCGGGCCCGCTCCCCGCACACCACGCACTGCTGGGCCCGGAGCTGGAAGATCACCTGCGAGGAGAGACAATGCAGTAGGCAGGGGCCTCCCCACCACCATCGGCTGCCCACAGAAGCAAAGCCCAGGGGCCCAGGGTCTGGCAGAGAAGCGGGGGGCATGTAAGGATGACAGAGCCCCTGCTACAGGTGCAGGCTCAGGGAGACGGGCAGGGCAGGAACGAAGAGACGGGGTGGGAGACGCTTCACGTCAGACCCTGGGGCGGAGGACTGGCGCCGGGGCGGAGCCGGGGGCAAGGAGCAGTCATGCAGGTGGCCACAGGGAAGGGCCAGGCCGGGATGGAGGCCCACGACCTGCAGCTGGTGGGCATCAGGATTTGAGCTTATTGGGACCCCGACTCAGGACCCAGCCCTCCTGAGAGAGCAGCCAAAGCCTGGGAGACAGCGCCTTGGAGGCAAAGCGATCAGAGGTATGCACTGCAACCTGGCTGTGGTCAGTGGACGAGGAAGAGTGTGAGAGGCAGGGCCATGGAACCTTCCAGATGCTCCAAGTTCTAACAAAACGCCCTGGTATGAAAGGAGTTTCTAGCTGAGCTGAGGGCAGTGGGCTTTATGCCACGCGAGAAAAGACAAGCAATGAGAGCAAGCAAGGAGGTAACCGGTGACCCTGGAGGATGACCTCAGTGAAGGGCCCCAGACACACGCATGCCATGGTTCCAAATGCGTGGGGTGGGAGGGACGTCCACCTTGTCCATGGAGGGCACAGCTGGCAGGATGGGGGGCAGGGGAGGGGGCAAAGGTGGACGACTCCAGGAAGGAAGGGCAGGGGCCAGCCTGGCAGGAGAGGAGGAGTACACTGTCCTGGGAGCAGAGCCCCGTGGGGTGCGCCACCCAGGAGTCAGGGCGAGGCAGGGGCCAGACGGAGGAACGGGTAGCAGCACTGGGCCGGGTACCCCTCCTCCCTCTGTGCCGAGGACACTCTGCCAGGGACAGGCCTCAGCTACCTCCAAAACCAACACCAGGACTCACCCCATCCACTGCTTCCAAATCCAGGCGCAGCTGACTCTGCAGGGAATGCAGCTTGGGCAGAGGAATGGCACCAATGTCGCCGCAGCTCCGCAGCCCGGGGAGTGAGGAGGACGCGCCCCGGCCCTCCAGCTCCTCCCGCAGCCGCCTGAACTGGGCCTCCACCTCCTCCTTCTTCTGCAGCGCCAGCTGCCGGGCGCTGTCGGCCGCGAGTGCACGCTCCTTCGCCGCCTTTGCCTCCCGCTGCCACGCGTCGCAGGCCTGAAACCCAGGGGGCTGCAGTGCTGGCGCCCGGGAGGGCGGCCCCTGCTGGGTGCACCCCTCCCGCCCGTGCGCGGCCCTGCCCGGCGCTCACCTGCTTCACCTGCTGCCAGGACTCCTCCCACTGCCTGATCTTCCTCTTGGCCTCGTCCAGCTGCCGCCGGACACGTGCCAGCTCGGCGCTGCTCGGACTCGTGCTTGAAGAGGACGCGGGGCCGGCGTTCAGGATAGGGGACGGGCTGGGAGAGAAGCTGCCGGAAACAAAGTCCCAGATGTTCCCGGGGACGCCGTTCAAACCTGAGTGTGGAGGGGACAAGAGATGTCAGCCCCGGCCTCGCTGAGGCAGCACAGGTGTCTCCCCAGCAGGCTCTGGGGACCTCTGGGGCTCCACGGACACCACTGTCCACCTGAGCTTTGTACCAGGCCCCCTTCCCAAACACCTGTGGTGTTCAAACAGAAAGAGACATAACTTCAAAGTTTCTGTGACTGCAACGTGGGGAGCAGCATTCTCAAACTCTGGTCCCAAGAACCCACTGCACTCCTTGAATCTTGAGAACCCCAAAGAGCTTTTGTTTACGTGGGTGACAGGGTGACAGCTATTGATATATACACATATGGCATTAGAAATTAAACGGAATTTACAAATGTTCTTTTAAAATATAACAAATTACATACGATAAAGAACATTTTCCAATGAAAAAACAACTTAAAACAAGAAATGGCACTGTTTCCTGTCTTTGCAAATCTGTCTGCTTCTACGTTGGGTCTCTGGTGACCTCACTCATCCGGCAGCCTCAGAAACCACCGCACGTGGGGGAGTGAGAGGCGGGTCACACTGTGGTGTCGTCGGCACAGGGTCTCGGGGTCCTGGCCACACTGAGAACCTGACAGAGGTTTGCACACTACCCCGACTCCAAACCAGCAGAGACATGGACACGGGGGCGCCTGGGACAAGAGCCAACGCCCACGTGGCGGGAGCGTGCGGGGTGGCGTGGAGGAGCCCCTGAAAGCGGCAGCGCCCCCTCGTGGGGCCCACTGCTCCATGCCTCAGTTTACTCTGCTGTACAGTGTCCCTCGGAGGGGCGGGCCCCTCCCCGCTGGACACGGCTCACCTAAGGAGTTGTAGGCCGAAGGGCCCAGCGTTCCGGGCTCCGATGTGAGGGGCGGCGGCTGCTGGGGGGGCGTCATGGCTGAGGAGACGAGTGGCCCCGACAGGGACTGGGAGAGCGAGCTGAGCGGGGAGGTGGACAGTGATGACAAGGAGTGCAGGGACGGGGAGCGGGGCAGGCAGCCCGGGATGCTGACGGGCGCCGAGCCTCCCGGAGACCTCCGACCTGCACAGAGCAGAGGGGGCCAAGTTAGCGAGAGGCTGCAGCAGTGACCACAAGGGCCAGACGCAGCGGGAGCCCTCCGAGCTGGGGGGAGCAGCCACAGTAGGTAGACACTAGTGGGTAGATGCTGGGGGGACCCTGAGAGTAGGGGGCAACTGGGGGACTCGGGGGACCCCGAGTGGTGGATGCTGGGGGGATCCAGGAGGACCCTGAGAGCAGGGGACATGGGGGGACCAGGCCCACAGGCGCCAGGTGGAGGTGCAGTGCCAGAGCCGTGTCCCCCTACACTGATGTGGTCACGCCTCTCACCACTCAGACACTCGGCATGTTAACAGGGCCAGGGGTTCAGTGGGGAGTTGAGTGGGGGTCCCAGCATAGGCCAGGTGCCCACTAGACGCTGCTCGACTGACCTATCCACTGGCATGGTGGTCCCAGTATTTTAGGGCCCCCCAGAAATGGTTTACTTTCTTTTAATATCAGAAAAAAAAGATGAACTTTTAGGTAGAAGAAGATATTTCAGCATACAATGTTAGTATCTTCATCTTTATGCCAATGCAGCGGTTAAAACATGTCCCCAGGAAGTGACTGGAAGGCCATGTCCCCCACGTCTGCAGGGGCTGCTTTGCTAAGATGGAGGTCAACTGAGGAAGAGGCGGGAAGCTGATCCCATTCGCGCTGCAGTGGGGAGGGGGCCTGGGACCCTCCTGCCCTAGGACCATCTAAAGATTCTTGAAAGATCAAGCAAGGCTGGCAGCGCCCGCACCTGGGGGCCCGGGGTCACCGCCGTCCTGCTCTTCCAGCTCTCTGTCCAGAGACGCGAGACTTACATCACTGAGATGCAGGTCTAAAGCTGAGCCTACGGAACAAAACACCGAGTCACCACAGAACCCCACAGGGAAACCGCAGAGCCTCAGCTGGGGGGACCAGGACCCTCCGGCTGCAGGCGGAGCCCAGGCTCCAGCGCTGCACCCCGACGTCAGAGACTCACTGCCCCCTCCCCAAAGCCAGTGCCTTCAGGCCGACGGCCCATCGTGCGGCCCCAGCAGCACCGCCCTCATCTCGTGATGTTTGCTCCTCCTAAGTTTAAATTTCTAATCATTTGGTAAAATTTGACCAAGAAAACACCTGACTAGTGAAAAAAAAATTTTCCAGGAGGACGAAGTCCATGAGAACGGGGTTCCGGGACAGCTTGGTGAGGCTGCACCTGTGCTGACGTCCTAGCAGGGTCACAGCAGAGCCTCCTGGTCTCCACACACACCCCCACCCCCAGGCACTGAGCGGGGTCCCACCATGGGGCACAGCCATTTTCCATCCTGCAGGCGGAAGCTGCGCTCACCCCGTCCCCTCCGACACTTCCTCCTAGGGCCCTGCCCTTGCGCAGCATGGGGGCTCCTGCCCTCCCCAGCCCCTGGGGACCTGGCAAGGAGCAGGAAGCTGTGTTGGGGCAGCTGAGGTCAGGCCCACCAGCCCCCAAAGCAGGAGCCTGTCTCCTAGGTTGCCTCGGCCACACAGGGTCAGCTCAGGGAAGGTGTGGCCGGAGGACCCAGAGCGCACACCATCCCCTGAGAGGCAGAGGAGGGGCTGCAGGGGCTCCTGGGACGCACGCACCCTGTGGCCTTCCCAGCCCCACGTCACGGCCAGGTCTGCAGCAGAGGCCCAGCACACGAGTTCTGCCACACTCGGCACTTTTCTTCTTTGCCCCACCTCAGGGGTCCCACGCTCTGCCCTTGCACCCCCTCCCAGAGGCAGCTAGGCGTCTCCTGTGTGGGCGAGCCCTGTTCCCCCTCTGCTGGCTGCAGGCCCTCAGCCCCCCATGACACTTGGTCAGAAGCACCAAGTTCCACCTGAAGAGACCACAAAGACATTCCTTTCCCCAGCCCCTGGGGACAGACCCTCTCTCCACAGCCCAGGGGATGCACCACGGGACCCTGGTCAGACCTGCCGGCTCTGGATCAGTGAGCCAGGCTTCTGGAGCCTTCCACCTCTGCCCCACCCCCAGCTGCCTAGCGCCAAGCGTCACAGAGTCCCCTAGATGGCACCTGATGGGTGACATCAAGTCAAAAGAGCCCAGGGACAGGAGCCACTGCTCAACTCTGACCACATCCCGCCCTTGGCTCTGCCCAGACTCCCGGTCACACCTGGAAGCAAAGGGCGCAGCAGCAACTGAGGCTGCAGGAAGGGGCAGCCGGGCTGAGCTTGTTTCAACCGACTGCGTTCGACCCAAGAGTTGAGTGAAAGCAGTGGGTGCCAGGGCACAGGGACGAAGGAGAGGCCTGCGGACAGAGGAGCCCACCTGCGGCTAGGGGAGGGGCTGCTGCCTTTTTAAATGCAAGAGCGTTTACCATCAGTAGCGGGAAATACAGCATAAGAGACTAAGGCCCAGGCACACATGGATTCCTTAGGAGCGTCTGAGGGGCACATGCAGAGCGGGCTTGGGTCCAGCCCCAGCCGCAGCCCCGGCTGCACCAGCCCGTCCCGGGGACTGGTCGGCAGCACTCAGCCTGTGTGGGGACCCTGAGAGCCAACCACGAGGAGGGCTCCTCGCCTGATGGTGGGCACTCAGCAGACCACTCACAGGCGGCCAAATGCTGCCTCCTGGACACGAGGAGAGTGCGGACGCATATCCTCGATCCATTGCTCAGGGCTCACGGTGTGTGGGAGGGGCCTCATGTCCCGGAGCGGCACCGCTGGGTGAGGCTCGGGTCTTGCGTTTGCTTCCTTCCTTACTTCAGCCCTGCTGCCTGTGGACACGACCCCGCCTGGGCCCCACTTGGCAGCTGCGGCCAGGAGCAGAGTGAGGATCGTACTCCATCGGCCTAGAGGGGGACGTTGGGGGACACTCTGAAGGCTTCCACCCCCGGAGCACAACTCTGTGACCCCAGCCCTCATTCAGATTCTAGCCTTGAGGGGAATCTTCTGGGCACCAAGGTCAGGCAGTGAAACCACCCGGAGACCACTGTCCTTTCCACGCCATCACCAAGAGCATGGGGGAGGCACCAGGGCCCCGCCCACGCCCCAGGGAAAACCATTCCAACCAAGGTTTAAGGACTTTTGGTCTTATGCGAGAAGGAGGTAAACATGTAGGATGGTAGCTGGGCCAGGGTGCCCCTCCAGAGTCCAGAAGCCCGCCCAGCCTCCCCCTCCCCAGCCCCCAGATACTATCCCGTTGCTCTGAAGTGTGACACTGGGCCCTGCAGAACCCTGACCCTGTGAGGACATTTTTCAGGGAACAGAGGGCAGGCCCCAGGCTGGCAGCACCCCAAGCTCTTCAGTCCTTGGGAAAGCGATGAGAAGACAACGAACATTCCTCACGGTGGCGCCCCGACTGTCACACCAGCAGCACCTGCACAGCCAGACCGGCTCCTTCAACAGGTCCAAGTTAGGCACCTGACGGCCGCAGCCAGGGACAGGGTGACGTGAAAACGGCCTGACGCAAGAGTCGTGACAAGAAAGAAAGACAGACCGAGTCCCTCAAGGAGACACTGGGGCACAGGGACCACCAGGGGCAGCACCCACCCCTGGCCTGTATAGGCTCTTTCCTCCTGGGGGGCTCCCCTTGTGGATGTCCCTCCCCCCAAGCTGTGCCCGCTCGACGGACAGCTTCTTCCTAACATCTGGGTGCACAGAGGCACTTGTGCCCTGGGCTGAAACCAGGCACCACGCACGGGGCAGCTTCAAACAACACAAATTCATCCCTTCACAGTCCGCAGGCCAGAAGTCGAGACCAAGGGGACACCAGGGCGTCACAGGGCCGAGCTCCCTCTGGAGGCTCCTTCCTGCCTCTTCCAGCCTCTGGTGTTGCCAGCACTCCTTGGCCCTCCTTGGCTTGTGGCCACATCTCCCCAGTCTCAGCCTCCACTGTCACATGGTTGTCTCTCCCGTTTCTGTGTCCGATTGTGTTCTTGTAAGGACACCAGCTGTGTTGGATTATGGCCCATCCTAATGACCTCATTTACCTTGAGTACATCTGCAAAGACTGTTTCCAAACACACTCACATTCACAGGTGGGGGCAGTTAGGACTGAGACATATCTTTCTGGGTGACATAATCCAACCCACAACAAGGGGGACCACTTGGAGACACCCCTCAGTCCTCTCCAAGTCGGGGGCTGGGGCTCCAATAGGCACCTCCAGGCCTGTTCCCCCCAACAGACCTGTCTCCTACAACTGTGAATTCCACTCTCACCGGCTCACCAGGACATGACCGCAGGCCCCGCAGGCCCTCACCCAAGTCCACGCCTTCTCGCCGACCCCAGTGTGAAAATTAATAAAGGAAAACCTCACTTAAAATGGAGTCAGGAGGCCAGAAGAGGGAGGTCCCAGGGAGAACCACTGAGGTCAATTACAGGAAGACGGTCAATTACAAACACCAACAAGAAGAATCCTCAACAGGAAAGATGTCCATGTCACCTCCTGGAGGAAATCAACCACCCCAGCAACTCAGCCAATGAGAACCCGTCATCCCCCGAACTCTCGCTCTCCTCCAACGGACTTTCATTGAAAACAACATCTCCCAACCTCCTCCTCCTCCTCTCTAAAATAACACTCCTCTCCTTGGCTTGCTGGACTTGCCCATGGCTCCTGCCATGGCACGCAAGTTCCAAATTGCAATTCTTTGGTTTTTCCTGGATAAAGCTGTTTTGCTAGTAAAATAACTGACTATTTATTTTCAAGGTTGACAGCAGTTTCCATCTCACTCTTCAACTTGCTGCCAAGGCCTTGCCCTGAAACCCCTCTGGTCAAAGGCGGCCCTCCCACAACCCTGCCCCCTGCCCTCGAGCCCGGCAGCCCCTCCTGTGCCTGCTCCACACCCGGACACCCATGGCTTCTGCAGACCTAACCCCAGATGCCCCAGGACTTGCCCCACACGGCCGCACCGCCTCCTCCTACCAGGGAGAGGCTGCCAGGGTGGCACCCGCACCTTCTGAAACTCTGCACACAGGTGCCTCCCTCGAGCTGGTGCACCGGGGCCCACTCACTGAGCAGAAGCAGGGAAGGAGCCCTCAGCTTCTTCCTCGACCCACACAGTTAGGGCCCCAAGCTCCAGCGGTCTCTGCAGGCTGCCCCCTCACCCGAACTGCACTGTCCTAGGAGTGACCTTTGTATGATGCCAACTCTGTCATGCCACGAGTCCTGCCTCCCAGAAAGAACATAGTCCTTGGAGGCTGGTCCACACTGCCTGGCTGGACCATGCCTCACCCCGCCCCCGCCCCACCCCCACTCCCCCGCTCCTCCTTTGTCCATGAAGAAAAATAACCCATTGTGGAAATTAATAAAGGAAATCTCAACTAAACTGCAGTCAGGAAGGCCTGTAGGGGAGCTCTCACCCCTATCACACATCCTCAATTACTCCAAACACGAAGACAGGGTAGGTCACTTGCATCTCCCACAGGAAGTACAACCACTTTACTACTGAAGGAAGATTTCTCTGCCCGCCCAGCAACAGCCCAGCCAATCAGACAATGCCGCAGCTCAGCCAACGAGAAATGCTGCAGCTCAGCCAATGAGAAGCCGTTGCTACCCTGATATGTTACTTTCCCCCAATGGACTTTCCTTTAGAACAGCCCCTCCTCGGGCCAGCCAAGGCTTAGCACTTAAGTGCGCATGCTCCGCTGCTGGCGGCCGGCAGCCGGGGGTTCGCATCCCGGGGCACACCGAAGCACCGCTTGTCAGGTCATGCTGTGGCAGCGTCCCACATAAAGTGGAGAAAGATGGGCACGGATGTTAGCTCAGGGCCAGTCTTCTCAGCAAAAAGAGGACTGACATGGACGTTAGCTCAGGGCTGATCTTCCTCACACACACACACAAAAGAACAGCTCCTCCCTACTCCCCCTTTTCTCCACAAAAGCAGCTCCTTCCTTTGTTTTCTGGATTTGCCTATGGTTTGCCATACCATGCACATCCCGAATTGCAATTCTTTTGGCTATTCCCAAATAACTCATTTTGAGGCTTTTCAAATCAACACTGCTGCAGGCTGCAGCCTGCCACAGCTTCCATTAGCCTCCATTAGTCCTGGGAGAACTCCTGTTCAGCCTCCAAAACCCTTCTCAGAACGACCCCCTGCTGTTCTGCATGTTGGCCCACACCGTGCTGGTGCACCTTGACCAGTGCTGGCCAATGTGCAGACTCACTCTGAGAGCAAGCATCCTCCACTGCACGCCTACCCTGCCCCCACCTCTTCACGAAACCTGTGCTGCAGCCAAAAGAATGCGGGCCCAAACCCACCCTTCATGTGCTGGCCTGGAGCATCTGCTCAGCCCGGGGTCCCAAGTCCCAGACACGCTGGGTCAGTCGGGCCTGACAACATGGACTTGGCCCTCAGCACCTGCAGTCCTGGGATTAGGTTAGCAGCGTCTGCTTCAAAGCTGGCAGACTTCCAGAAACAGTTTTTGAGTAACAAAGGCACCAACGGATGGATGCAGGAAACAGACTGGATGTGCAGGAGCCTTTACTCGCCTTGAAGTGATTTAGCTCATCACTCTCCCCCCATGACTCAGCACAGGTGTGTGACCTGCCCTCTCATACGCAGAGGGGGCACAAGAGGCGCCAACCCTCACTGACAACCACAGATGCATCCAGCTTATAAGGAGGCAGCTGCTCCCAGGGTGCATGCCTGCCCATTTCATCAGCAGGGTTTCTCTGGTCATACTACCGTGCGCTGTTCCCCGGGGCTGACCCAGGTCTTCTGATATACGCTCTTACAAGAAAAACTGACTTTTAAAAAGACTTTAAAACTCAAAATCTAGATGACCCAAGTTACATAAACTGTGCCATCTGACCCAGAACCAGCCTTGCCAAACTACCAGGAAGCACCCAGATGTTAATGAGAAATTAGTCGAAAGCTGCTGAGTAATGGCCCTGGCAAAGCCCCGTTCCCGACGTGACACAGCACGTTCAAGAGGCGCCGCCGTCCCCCCGGGTCAGGGGACACACGGGAACAATGCACACAGGGCACAGAATTAATGGTCAGAATAGGGAACCCCCGACGCTGGGGGTGCTCCCCCGCACCCACCCGGGCCAGGAGCCCCCCGGCTGGCCGTCCTCCCCTAACTACAGGATGGAGAAGCACCTGGCAACCCGCTCACCCGCCGGTCTGAGTTTCCGACAGTGCGGACGGTGATTCGCAGCAGGACAAGGCAGGAACCCCGTCCTCGCCAGGGAGAAAAGCCCCACCTCCTCCAGGTGATGCAGACTCCCCTGGAGAAGGCCGGCTCGCGCCCACGCAGGGAAGCGGCGAGCGCCTCCGCAGAGCAGGTTCCAAAACGGGGACGTTTGCATGCACCTCATTCCGCAGCCCCCAAGAAACCTGGTACCGACGGCTGTCACACCTGGCCCGGGGCGAGGGCACTACGGACCGGTGCGAGGAGCACCTGGAGGGGAGGCGCACCTGGGGAGGAAGGTGCAGGGGCGGGAGACGCACCTCACCTGTGGGGAAAGCCCACCTGGGGAGGGGGGGGTTGGCGCATCTGTAGGGGAAGAGGCGCACCGGGGAGGGAGGCGCACCTCACCTGGGCGGCGGCGCACTGCCCGTTCCGTCGCTCCGCTTATCGACGACCCGCACCCTGACGGCGCGGGACTGACGATGCTGACTCACCGTCCGCCGCCGCCGCCGCCGCCGATTCAAACACGGCCGGCGCCCCGCCCGCCCGCGCTGGCCACGCCCCCTGGCGACGTAAGCCTTAGACGCGCCGAGGCCCCGCCCCCGATGACGCAAGCCTCAGGCGCCCTCGGCCCCGCCGTCTGGCGACGCAAGCCTTAGAGTGCTCCGCCCCCACCGCACCTGGCTGGGGCCCGGCGGGCAGGTGCTGGTGGACCGGCTTAGTCGCTCCGTGTCCTCCCGTCCCCGCGGCCGTGTGTGTGGGCCCCCGGCAGGGCGCGCCACCCCTCGCACCAGCACCTACCGCTCCCGCCGCTGCGAGGCGGTGTGCCGGGCCCTGGGCCCAGGTGGACGCGGGAACGCTAGCCGGGCAGGGCTGCTTTGTTCGGGCAAGGAGGGGTCTTCGCACGGAAGCCCCGGAGCCCGCCGCCGCCGGCCCCGCTGCTCCTGCCCTGCCCACCTGCAGGGCTCGTGGCCAGACCTTGCTCAGGTAAAAACACGCTCAACCCAACGACCCCCATGGCCCGGGGCCAGGCCGGGGCCAGAATGAACAGGCCGGGATGAACAGGCCGGGACTCCCGCCCTCGCAGGTCACTGAGTCAGCTGCCCACAGCCCCGAGACCAGTCCCTTCCGTCTCCGTCCACAGTCGATCTAGTCTCCTCGGAATGAAGGCTCCCACCGCCCTCTGCTGCCAGCCCCGCAGGCAATGAGCTCCGCTGGTCACTATTTTAATCTGAAACCTTGTTCCTGTGAGGTGGAAGGCAAAGAAAGTGAAATCTGTCAGGTGGCCCTGAAATGACGCCACCAGCTCCATTAAATGCAGACTTAGTCTGGAAACAGCACCTCTTTATTTTAGAGGTTACTCATTGTCTTTATGCAGTGCATTAGTGAGGACATGACCTGACTGAAAGGACTACTGGGAGAATCCAGTCACACCTGTCAGCCCCAAAGCAGGGGGCGGGCACTCTGGGTCTGGGTGTCCCTGAGTGCCTCCTGGGGCCAGAGGGCAGTTCTGAGGATTCCGTTACTTCCCATAACTGGGGCTTGGATTCCTGGGATATAACTTTACACGTGATCTCAGGAGAGTGATCAGAGAAAAAAGGGAGGATGCACTGACAGCAGAAGCTCATTTTAACAAAAAAAATGTATGATCTGTAAACAGAGGCAGTGTTGATCCTGAAAAAAATTCACCACTGGGTAGCTGGTTCAGGAAATATTTAAGTCAGTGAAGGAATGCACTACAGGATGGTCACAGATGCACTGAAACCGGCTGGGGCTGCCTCAGGTGTTAGATAACGGATGGAGAAACAACTACAAATATGCCAGCTCAGTCTTGAGTCGTCACACACCCAGTGAGGCCACTTTCAAAGCACAGGTGCCCCGAGTTCTGTTTTTCACTCAAGTGGGCAGAGTTGAATGTGGCCTCACCTGTTTGGAGGATGGGATTTCATTTTCCTAATTACCCTTCTGTTATGCTCAAATTTTACCATTACTATCTTTACATTGGGGAAAATAAACTTTATTTTAAAAAATTTTGTGCTTACCCATAAAACTATAAAATCATAAAATGTGCTATTCATCCCAATGGCTTTTTGGCTCATTTCCAAGTGGAAACAAAAGGAACTCCTGCACACACATGCCCCACACACCCATCAAGATCCCAGCGGTCCTTTAAAATGTATAAGTCAGCCAAACTCCTCACGTTTAACATTCTTTAGGGGAGCAGCTTAGAAATGCTCACCACTGAATGAGGTTCTTTAATAACTGCTCAGCTCCCTCGAGTAGGGGTAGAGAGCTGCGCGCAGGCCAGGACCCCGTGGGCTCTCCGCTGGCTGCCTGCTGGGTTCTTTTGGCCGTAAGTGCCAACTTCGACAAGTCGACCCCACGCCTCATCCCTGACCTCCGAATTTCTGACGAGAACGTGTGAGTTTGAGGGTGCCACTTAGCAAGACCCAGAGCCATGAATTATAAGGCCCATTTGCAATGTCGATTTCATATTAAAATGGGCATGTTTCATTCAGAGACCTCTGTGGTTCAAGAACAACTTGTCTGCCCCCAATTTCAGGTCAAGATAAAATACACGTGGGTCTGTTTTTGCTTAAAAGAAAACACACCCACCAAAACCACCCACAAAGTACATACGATTTGAAGAAACTTCCCTCTGAGGTAGAGCCCCAGTGAGTCAGTCTATGGAGGGAGGCTTTACATGACACAGACACACGGTACAACACCTCCTGGCGGGCGAGGGCAACCCTGGCAGCCTCGAGCCCACCCCCCTTCCCAGTCCCTGCCAAAAGAGAAGCAGGAGAGGAGGGGGTGAGCTCCAGGACCCCAAGAGCAAGGATGGGACTGTTCTAGAGCTGACCAGGCTGGCCTCCCATTGGAGCGGTTCTTCCAACCTGGGGACAGAGAACTTGAAAACTGCCCCAAGTCTCCCTCTACCAGGACAGAGATGCAGGCTCGGGTCAGCTCGGCGATGCAAAGCCATCCATAGGTGCAGCCAGGTGCCCTACCACCCAGACGTGGCCCGAGGGGCCCAAGGGGACACACACAGCCCCTGGCACTGTCTCGCCCACCAGCTCTGCGCCCGTCCCCTGCACTTTCACAGTAGCCCCTCCCTGGGCTCCGTGCCCCTGTCCAGGCCTCCAGACAGGTCCCCCTCTCCCCGCCAGCTCCAATCATGTTGGTCATTAGTCCCCAAACCCTCAATGACTGCCAGCGGCTAAGGACCCCTCCACAGCTGGCAGCTGTGCCCACTGCCTTCCATCTCATCCCCATTCCCCTCCCACCCTTGCCACTGTCCCCACCTTCAGGTGCCCTCACTGCTCACGCCCTACTTTAATTTCTCTAAAGCCCCCCCTTCTTGATGGTCTCCAGACCAGGTGGCACCAGCCACTCTGCCTTGGCCTGGGGGGGCGTGCAGCTGCCCTGGCTCGAGGGCCCCTTGTCCCCTCTGCACCCCGAGGCCCCCAATGAGTTAGGCATTTCCACGACCACGTGCGATACAGCCAAAGTGACAAAGAACGCACTTTTTACAAAAACCAGCGTTCTGAAAGGCGTCCAGAAGTAGATCATTCCCGAAAGGCTACAACGTCCGTGCAGAGAGAAGTTAGGGAGATGAGAGGGAAGCTTTGGACTTACCTGGGACTGGCTCGATGGCGCTGCCGGTGGGGTCGAGTGGGTGGGCTCGGGCCGAGAGGGCGGGCAGGGCGGTGGGGGAGGAGCCGCCTGAGCCAGCGCTGGACGCCAGGCTGGACGCCACACTGGAGCTCACGCTGGGAGCGAGCGGGTGGACCATGGCAAACACCGCGAGGTGGGTCTGTGCAGAGACACACAAACGAGGTGAGGGGACGCCCCGCACGGAGCACAGCTGCGTGACTAGCACGGTCGCGGAGGACGCATGGGGAATCACGGACCCGATGGCTGGCCGACTTCTACCTCCAAAGCAAAACATGAAGAAAGCCAACTTTTCCAAATAGTCTATCATAACTTAGTTACGATACCGCGACAGGCGGAATCTAGCTGCTGATCACCCGAGGGCAGGAGGAAACGCTTCTAGAAAAGAGCTCGTGTAATGAACTGTTCTGCAGAAAACAGTTTTCAAAAGCAGACATACACCACTGAAAACAACCCAATAGAGAGCCAGCCCTGCTTCTGAAAACATGGTAAATGGTCCTATGACCTCACTTAAAGGCTTAAAAAATCGGGGCAATTCACATTATCTCTATTTGATTGATAACAGATTAAAGGAAAACGAACTAGCACAATCCTGGATAAACAGCCGGTGATGCGGAGGGCACTGTGCACAAGAAAAACACACAACAGAAATGAAACAGGATGAGTTGCAAGGCCCACCCTCAGGGCTCTTCACACAGTGCTCTGTCTCAGATGTGAACTCCGAGTCACTATGAAATCAGGAGTCAGAGCTACATTATGGGGAAACGGGATCATGTCTGGGTTTGCTTCAAAATAACAGGAAAAGCTAACCTTGCAGGGGGCGACAAGAAGATCAACTACAAGGGGGAGGATTTACCAGTTTGTCGGCTGAAGTGAAATTTCCCATAATAAAAAAGAATGTCACTGTACACTTTGTAAGAGAGAAATCTGGCACGGGATGGTTTCTCCGAGCGAATGTTTCTTGGCCCTGAGGCCTCTTCCTCCGTGTTCACGGCCTCCTCCGCCTCCACCAGGTTTGTCAAGAGAGGCCCCGATGACAGACCCCTGGGCCATAAGTGCACAGAGACCTTGGAACCATCGACATTGTACATTTGAGGGGAAGTTTTTAAAATAAGTCAAACTGCAGAAGTTTGGAGAGCAATGTCCCCCAACGCGCCCAGGGTCAGACTCAGAGGTTGGGCCACCGCCTCATCCACAACGGGGCTCTCCTGTCCCTCCAGCTGTGGGAGGTGTGACCACAGACCGCCAGTTCCCCTCTCCCTCCCGCAGCCTCTGCTGGGCTGTGTGCTGTCCCCAGGTGAGACAGGAGTGGCAGTAACCTGCCCGACAACACTGCAGACACCCCACAGTAAACCCAACACACTGAGCCCAGGCACCTGCTGTGACTTCACCCACCCAAAAAAGTCACACTGAGGGAGGACGTGCCCCTCGAAGACGGCAGGTGACACTTTACCCTAAAAACAGATGACAACATCCTCAACCACACTGGTTACAGACCTACCAGGACAGGTCAGGTGTGGGGCCCCCCCAACGAGCGAGTCAGACACGACACAGCAGGATGGGGCACCGAGTCCCCTTCTAGCACCAGCTTGGTCTGCCTGTTTCTTTCTTGTTTTTATTACGGTAAAATATACATAACAAAATTTATCATTCTAATGATTTTTAAGTGTACAGCTCCGTGGCATTAAGCACATTCACAATGTTGTGCAGCCATCACCACCATCCACCTCCATAACTTTTTCATCTTCCCAAACTGAAACTCTGTCCCCATTAAACACTAACTTCCCCTCCCCTAGCCCC